CTTGTCGAAAATAAAAACTGCGATCAAATCTTCGCAAATCATTTCAAGCAACTTAAAACATTCGCTTATCCCATCTATTGCGAATTGTGCCAGATTATATGCTCTTCCCAAAATTCATAAAAGTGGTGTTCCTTTCCGCCCTATTCTATCAAATTTAGGTACTGCCTCGTACCATTAGCTAAATATTTAGTTTCTAGATTTTCCCTCTATTAGACAATAACATTTACACAAAAAATTCAATAGAGTTTGTAAAAAAGGTTAAAAACCATTTCTCCTAGTAATTTACTATGGTTTCTTTTGATGTAAAATCATTATTCACCAATGTCCCAGTGGAGGGTGCATTAAGATGTCTAGAAACCAGACTTCGCGAATTTCATTTCTCTTGCATCGAAATTGATGAGCTAATTCTCTCACTCAACTCTGTTTGAAACAAACACATTTTGTTTTCAAAATAAATATTACAAGCAAACTGAGGGATAGCCATGGGATGCCCCCTCAGTCCCATCCTGGCTGATATCTACATGCATTATTATGAATCAAAATTGTTTGAAACTTTAAACTTCCCGGCATGGTTCCACTACGTAGACGATACTTTTACCCTGTTTGAAGGTAATAAAGATGATTTAAATAAAGTTCTTTCAACAATGAATTCTATTGATCCTGCTATTCAGTTCACATTTGAACTTGAGACTTGCAATTCTCTTCCGTTTCTCGACATTCTGGTCACACGTAACACATCCAACTTCAGTACTACAGTTTATCGTAAACCTTCATCGGTTTGCCTTCCACCACACTTTAAATCATGTCATCCGACCTAAACAAAAGTTAGCTTCATTTTATCCTATGTTTTCCGTGCTCTTCAAGTTTGCTCCTCCAAACTAGCCCTTGATGAAGAACTAAATTATTTAAAAGCAATAGCTATTGACAGGGGCTTTTCACCCAACATTATTAATCAAGCAGTTAAAAAAATTCTCATCTCAACACACTAAAAGCCACACTCTTATTTTAGGAGATATAAAAAATTCTGTTGTCATTCCCTTCTTTCCATCAATTAGCTATAAAGTTGCACATATTTTGCAGAAATTTAACTTTCGGGTTGTTTACTCTCCCATCAATAAAATTCCAACTTCTATACTCAAGGACCCCATTCCGGATATGAATTCCTGGAGTATTTATAGGATTCCTTGCCAGTGCGGTTTAATTTACATTGGCCAAACTAAGAGAGCCTTAAAATTTCGCGTCAAAGAACATGAGGCATATGTTAAAAAAAGGAAACACAGAAGTCTTCTGTTGCTCAACATTGTTGGTCCGAAAATCACACTTTCAATTTTTCTGCTGCCCAAAATTATTCAAAAAAAAAAAAAATCTTCCATTGGAGAACTGGATTTTCTAGAGGCATTTCACATTCATAAAAATCTTTGTTCTAGTTAACGATCCTAATTCCAATCCAAATTTGCCTTCGGCTCTTAGAGAAATAATGTTTTAGTTCTGGTTTCGCCAACAGATGGCGCCACTTGCTTATTCTTGTCCAGACTTTGTTATCTTATCTAAACATTATTTCCTATCTTGTTCATTTGCGGTTTTGCAGCTGAAGATGATGGTTCGGTAAAACCATCGAAACTAGTCCTGTGAAAATTTTGTAAATATAACGCTGATTTTTGTTGTTTGACTTCTGAATTAGTAAGTTGTCTTTAGCCTTTGAATCAAGACATGCTCGCATGAACCGGTCTCATTGCAAATAACCTGTGAGAACTGCAATTCACGCTGCTGAAAAGGATAAGAAAATGCCCAACTTGGAGTGTGATTGATGCAATGAAAGCTATCGCTGCATACTGGAAATCCATGTCATCACAATATATACAAAGCTGTTTTAGCAGAGCCTGGAAACATTAAGATGTTAATACTATTGATGAGTTAGATGGTGATAAGGATACCACTTCACCCAATGAATGGAATATTCCAGCAGATCTTGTGAAACCTGGTGCTAATTTTGAGGAGCTTGCTAGTGTAAATGACAATGTTTTCAAGTATGCTCCAGTGGAATCTGATGTACAAGCAGGTGCATTTGAAGTGCAAGAAATGTCACCGGAAAAAAGTGAGGAGGACAATCTCATTCTCCCGACCCCCCAGAAAGTGTTACAAGCCTTGAACAGTTTAGAACATTTTGCTGCAACATCCAGATGCTAGTTTTATGGAAGCCATGAGTACAGATGGCTGTGAAGTTACCAGGCATTTTCATTTCCACCTGCAGCAGCAAAGTATACATGAGTTTTCACCAGAAAATTGTCTATGAATACATTTTTATCAAGTTACAGTACAATAATTAATGTAGTACTGTAATGTTTTCTAACATGTGAAATATACTATAGTATGTACATAACCTGTATACTGCAAATGGTTAATGTGTAGAAAAAACCCATTTGAAAAATAAATCTGAGTCCCCAGTTAACATGAATTTTTTATATTTTGGTACCTTGAGATTCCATTAATGAGGGTTTAGGTATTTAGCTTAAATTTCTATCCAAACATTTTCGACATTTCAGATGTTTTTGAAACCTTATATTTTCTTGTTTACATATACATACACTTTTTTTATAACATTACATGAGTTTGTTTCCTCATTGTTGCAAAGAATTCAAGGTCTTTTTGCTTTAGATGAGAGGGATTTGTGCTGAACTTTTTAGGAAATTAAGCTCTTATTCATGTTATATATCAGGTTACCTGCCAAGCCAGCCAAATCTACCATTAGAAACAGAAATCAAGATAAATATCTGAATATAGTGCCTTATCCAGTATGCATACTTGATCGTACTTGGCGTACTTGATCTTCTACATGAAGTCATGACCAGACTAACTCAAGAAGCACACTACTACAATGGTAAATGTAAGGAACAAAAACTGGAAAAAATTATGTATGACCATGTTAGCCATTAGTATGCATTATAACATATGAAATAAGGCGATTAATTAATCAATAAAAAGAAAACTTGTTAATCAGTGTCTAAAAGATGCCTAGCAGTAGGTAGCCCAAGTGGCTATTTAGAAAAATAAGCAGACAAAAAGCTAAAAAATTAGCTCTGAAATGAAGTCCTATATACAGGGTGATTTACTATGAGTACAACAAACTTACAGGATTGTAGGGGCAAAAAGACGATTTGGAATAACATAGCACTACAGGGTACGAAATGCCTTCTACCCAAGTCCTGGTGCGTCTCGTATCTCCCCAGCAACTACAGAGATGCGAATAACAAGGTCTTCAACTGAAACAATGGGATCTCGCACACCAGTGCCTTCATTTAACCCCAGAAGTTCAGGTATGATGGGTCTGGCAATCTAGCAGGCCAATGAACAAGAGCACCACAATCTATCCAATACTGTCCAAACATAATGTTTAGGTGTTGGCCGATTCCATTGTAGTAGTGTGGGGTAGTCCATCATGATGGAACCACATTGAATAATGTAACAACTAAGAAACATGTGATTCTTAAATTAGTCTGGTCATGACTTCATGCAGAAGATCAAGTACGCCCTACCATCCAGACAAAGGTGAAAAAGGTATGGTCCAAGAAGGTAGTTTCCAACAATGTCGACTCAAATACTGACAGAGAAACGGCTTTGAGCTGCATGTATTCATGTACTACAGGGGATATCCAAAGCCCCAAAATGGGCATTATGTTGACTGAATGTTTCCTCTCTTGTGAAAAATGCCTCATCTATGAAAAATACCGACATAGCAAATGCGCCATTTGCCACACTCTCTTGAAGATACCAAAATGCAAAATTCCTTTGGAGTGGATAATCTGCAGACTCCAGTGCTAGGACATGTTGCAAATGATACAAATGCATTGATTTCCTGACAGTATCCTCCATACTATGGATTGGGACAAACTCAATAGTTGGGCTATCACTCAAGTACTCATACTCAGATCACCTTCTGCCAGACATAGGACACTCTTCTCACTGTTTGGCATCCTTGTCTTTCACTCTTGATTCATGGTTGGTCTCATGAAACAACCAGTGTCACATAAACTTCTAGGTAGATCGTATGACGCATGAGTGGGGAAACGTTCCTGGCACAGGCACAGAGCACAATGCCATACCTGAGGTCCATGACACCCAGTTAAACATTTGAATACTCATCCATCCTACTGACTTGCATACCAGTTTGCAAATGCTGGCTTCCAATATGATCGCTGGTCACGTGACTTCTCGTTAAATACCCTCCTACTGCATGACGAAGGTGTTTTGGACCCTGCAATGCTATGTGATTCCAAATAGTCTTTATGCCCCCCTACATCTGTAAGTTTGTCACACTGGTAGCGAATCACCCTGCACAGAGAGACGAGGGAGAAAGGAATTACAAAAAACTTTTTAATATATAAACGCTATCTAAGCCAAAGGAATAATTGTGCTTTAGCTGCAAAATTATATTATAATCAAATTATATTAAATACCAAAAATATAACCTTCCAAAGTATTACAAAAATGCAAAAGAAAATGTTGAGAGCCAGTAAAACACAAAAGCAAAGTAGTCTAGGCCAAAGCAAAAGTAACTCAATACGACTGTTCTAATATTTTGGTCATTTCGTCTAGACTACTTCAATTTCGTTAATATTCTCATTTTGTTTTTCACTGATTTTCAACTTTTTCGTTTGCATTTTTGTAATACTTCGGAAGGCTATAATTTTAGCATTTAACATAATTTAATTGTAATACACACATATATATATAATAAAATACTTGAGTTATATCCAATCTATTTATTTAACACTAGTTTAAAAAAATTCAAGGACATTTCGATTATTGGTTTCTTGGTACACATAGTACTTTGTGCTCGCTTAAGAGATGTGATTTAATTGAGAAGCACAAGGAAGCTAAACTGCTAAAAGTTCACAAGCAGAAGATGTTGAAATTTTATCATACATTTAAATATTCTTACATTTATATTTTAAATTAATATGTGCCAGTGTTGTAATAAAGTAAATCAAATATTCTCTAACCTATTACAGTAACTGCAGTACTGGTTTTTGAGATATTCCTTATGCCTTTCTTCATCACCAAATGATGCCTTGCTCTCAATCCAGTTGATAACATGTCCTTCAACAGCTGGAATAGTTAAGCATTAAAATATATGAATGCAGTTTATTAAAATAAGTCAAATGGAATTCATTACTATACACTGGAATAGGAAATATTGGAAAAAAGTTAGCAACATCAATAAAAACTAAAAAAGAAAGCTTTAGAAAACTTATTGCATTGAAGTTGAATGCAAATAAGCATGATCATTCATTATACAATAAAAGCTCAACTACCTGTAAAGCTCGGGAAATGTCCAATTCTAGATAAATAAGCATAAAAAAAATGCAGTTTATGGTAGAAAAGCCAAATAAATGTTTTAAAAAAATCCTGCCTAAAATTATTAACAAATTTATTTTATTTATCAACTTGAGCTATACAATTTGAGACAACAATCTGAATATCAACAGGTGACTGATATTCATGTTATCTACTGCATTTCAGACATAAACAACAAAGTAAAATATCACATTTGATTATGAAGCTCAATAGACAATGAAAACTGGCAGAGATCTCAGCAAACTTGCACCAGTCATTCTGGCAGAAGTTTGAAGCAACAGATTATTCTTTAGTTACACAATCAATACGTTACAAACATAATATATTAAACCTTAAATCATTTGTCATATTTTTTTACATTCACATCCAGTATTTATTCATTTTCACATAAATCACACTTTTTTAATACCAGGATCCCATAATTTAAAAAATACTCTATGCTGTTCCAATTCAAAAAAACAAATCCCAAATTTTAATCATTTTTCCAAAATGTGATTGAAAAACAGACATAGCAGTTACTTCATATCATTCTTTTATAAAAATCAAATTGGCTTATTGAGAATTAATTGGGTTTACACAAATACAAAGCATTATGTCATGCTTATCCATTATTGGCACTGCTTGGTAACAGCTTTTGTTTGATCTTGAATAGTAGTTCCATTTGTATTTTATAGTGGAGATATAAATTTCTTACTTTTTTAATTTTACATAAAACAAAAAATCAACAAATCTAGATGTCCAGTATCTGGAATGAACTAAAATCCAGAGTTCCCTAGCAACAACAATTTTTTTTTTTTTTTTTAAAGGAAGTTTTTTCCAAAATGAGAGAGAGAAAATTAGATTCCAATAGTTTCATAACTTATGCATGCTCAGTAGACATTTTTTCATAATAAAGCATATGTAGGGTTCTGATTCTTAACTTCACATCAGGACTAAATAAAAACATCTCTATGTTGAAAGAAACAAAATTTTTGAGTAGCATAAGTCTGTATGATCAATAATTTGGCTTTGTAGCCATCTTGCTGCTCACCATGCATCTCAAACCAAAAAACATTCTGTCAGTTTATTGCTGAATTTAAGCCTACTGATTATCACATAACCCTATGCAATCTGATGAATATTTTTTTTAAATTATTTTTTGCTTTTATCATCACATGATCATGAACTCATAGGAGCCTGAAAAATCACTCAAAAAGTGATGTTTAAAACAATTTTTGTTTTAATTTAATTTGTTTTTTGTTTGCTTTAATTTGAATACTTAACAAATATGGTAACCTATTACGATTGGCAAAGATTACAAACTTCTGCCAAATGCATTGTAAAGTGGGTTGACAAGGAGAAATTTTGAAAAATAGATTTCAAATTCATATGCCATTTAGTACAATTTTAAGAATAAGTGATTTGTTATTCTGATAAGCCCTTTCCATTATGCACCTGCCATGCCTTCTGGCATGTGCAGGTGATGATCAATTGACCATAACTTGTCACACACTGTGTGTGTTTGCTATCTATAAACTATTCTTATAACTAAAAATTCTTATTGCTTTATTAAAAAAAATAGATTTTTATATTACGTCCAAAGGAGTGTTTTTTTAATACTTTTTGTGCTACCTTTATTTATTAAATATCACGTTCTTTGCACTTAAATCAGGGAAATTCAGTTCAACAGCAATATCATAAAATAATTAAAAAAGAGCATATCTTTAGAATTTCTGATACACAGCCTGGCATGCTGGAGATAAAAATGTCCCCCCCCCTTGTACAGTGTTGCCATTGTTCACCTCAAAATCGTTGAATTTGTTAGTCAAAATTTCATTAAATGTCTACAAAATACGAAATAGATAATAAAACCAATTCCAATTTATTAAGGTATTAGATCATTCCAGATATTACGCATCCCAATTTTGGATTTTGTACTGAAAAATTCAGATGATCTTTAATAATAAAGAACAAGAATAATAAATATTAACTTTTTCAAGTTAATCTATGAAATATTATATAGCAAATATAACAAAATTCTGCAAATAAAATATTTAAAATATATGAGTATGATAAATGAGAAATATATGAAATATTCACAAGCTGTCAGGTGGTCAGATTGTAATATAAACATTTTTATAAATCAAGCAAGTCTAAAACTGATCTAAATATGGCTTACCTATTGGAACATCAAGTTTTATATCAGGAGTTTTATCATAACCTTTCTCCCGTAACTCTTTTTCCTCTGAAAACAGAATACGCAATTAAAAATTACCAAAGAAAAAAGAACTGATACTTAATAGTTACGCCGGTAACCAAGGTTAGTCAACAAATTGGCAATATGTAACATAAAAATTTGAAATGTTGTAAAAGGCTCGTGTAGAGACCACTTTAACAAGGAAGTACTGCAAAACTATATACACAACACATACTTTTCCTCTTATAAAAAATTATTATATATTTTTTTATTACAAAACAAAAGCTACTCAAAGGAAGCACCGAAGAATTATTCTCCGCACCTCTTTTGAGTTGCTACTCTGTTTCATCTGCAACCTCATAGATAAAATGCATGTTATTGAGCTCTGTGTTCATGAAATGATGCAGACTGCTCAAAATTTACATGGGGAATGATGATACGAGGTTGGATTCAAAAGTTCCTGGACTGAGTCTATAATGTTAAAAATATTATGAATTAAATTGCAGAAACACATGCTCCTTCGAAATAAGACCTTTGTGCAATAACACACTTGCCAGGGCTCGTAAAGTTCATCACCCCATGTCTGGAATTCATTTTTGGCCATGTCCGCTAATTCAGCGTGCAACGCACATTTAACTTCATTTGAAGATTGAAATTGAAGGTCCTGCAAGCATCTTACCAATTCAGGAAATAGGAAGAAATTGCAGGGTGCAAGATTAGCTGAGTAAGGAGGTTGAGGCAAAACAGGTGTTTTTGTTTTCGCAAGAAAGTCATTATCGAGCAGGGATTGGTGAGCAGGAGCATTGTCATGAAACAGCACCCATGACTGCTCAGCCCACATTTTTGGTCTCTTCTTCCGGATTGACTCGTGCAAATGACGCAGGATTTTGATGTAGAGATCTTTGTTCAGAAAGCATCCTTCAGGGATAAATTCTAGATGCACTAAGCCCTGGATATCAAAGATTACCTCTGGCATGACCTTTCCCTTAGAGCAATCTTGGTAGAATTTCTGCTTCGATGAAGATTGTGGTGATTTCCACGTTGCCGATGCTCTCTTTGTGGGTCATACAAACACACAATTTCTCGTCTCCAGTAACAATTCTGCAAAGAAGAGAAGGATCTTTATCAACAGCTGAGATTAAGTCTCCCACTATTTTCATTCAAATTCCTTTTTGATCCACTTTTAACATGCGGGGAACGATGTGTTGACACACCCTATGCATGCTAAGATCCTTAGTCAGTATCCGCTGACATATGGCCTCTGATATCCCAACTGATTCTGCTATTTATTTGGCCAATTGTTAGCTGCCTGTATGCACCTACCACCGCAGACACCTTTTTGATGTTTTCATCAGTGCGCAAAGTCACGGGAAAGCCACAGTGTTCGTTGTCTTTGAAACTTTCCATGCCTTCTCTGAAATGACAATGCCACTCGAAAGCTTGCATTCTCGGTAACGTTTTACTTCTGTACACATGTTTCAACATTTCGAAAGTCTCTGTAGCCCTCTTTCCCAAGTGAACAGAAAATTTGATATTGATTCTCTGCTCAACTGATGCCATTTCTTTCTATCACCAGTTACTAAACGCACCTGCCTACATACTTCGACCATGTGGTTTGAAACAAACCACTTTTAGAAAAGGGAGAGAACGTAGTAACACAAAAACATTCTCGTACTTGCACTACTGCAAAAAATTTTTAGACTCAGTCCGGGAACTTTTGAATCTTACAATGTATATGGTAACAAAACACTTTTACCAACTTCTCAACAGTGCCCTGTATAGCCTTTGCATGCAAATTTTATTAACAAAATCTGCTTCTTTCGGGCCTCTCTATCTGTACATTTTTGCTACATATTTTTTAATCAATCTCTCTCTTTATAAAATTATAAATTTATTATTCACTTTTTGCAATTTATTACGCATACATATATATAATGCTATTGAGCAAATTGAATTACTATTAATGCTAAAGGACACATTGAATTCATATTTTCTGATTTCAAATCTTTTGTTGCTCTAATGTTATAGATTTTATGAACTCTTCTTTTATGTTTTTTGGAATTGAATTTTCATTTATTACGTTTTCATATGTTATTCAAATTCTGTTTACACTTTTTTTTTTTATCTCAGTCTGCATAAATAAAAAGTAATTTTTATTAAGTTTTTAAGCTCTTTTAGCTTGTTTATGGATTTGATGCTATAATTTTGCAATTTTTTACTCCAGCCTTTCATGTCTTTGATTCCATTCAAATTCTTTGATAGAGTTATCAGACAGAGCCCAATTCAAGGCTGATACTAGGATGGAAATTTGAAATTTTCACTGTTTAGGAAAAGAGGAATTAGTGAATAGGTTATTACAGGCTTGAGCTATAAAAATGATTCACCATCTAAGAAATAATTTTTATTTTTTTTTTATTTTTTTTATTTTTGTCAGTTTGTTTCATTTGAGTATTTAAAATGCTTGGCAAGTTTCGTCTTCTAAATAGGAGGGGGTTGCAATCTTATTTTTTTGTAGGTTTTCAGTTATTGTTTGTAAGGGCTACTGCAGCTCGACTTTGCAGAAAACTGCACAAAAAAAAGGGGACAGTTCTATACTTCCTGTTCTACTGGGCCGATTGAGGGAATTCAACTTGAGTGTTTCATGTCTCAAAAGCGCAAATTAGGATGTGTATTAGACTTACATATATTATTGTTCTGATATCGGTATTTTGACACAAAATCGTACTTTATCTGAAATCACATGACAATTTTTTTCCATATTTCAATTTTACAACTCAAATTTGCCAAACTAAAAAGTTTTGCAAAAATCGCACGATTAGTTTTTAAAAAATTAGTTTTCAAAATTTTAGCACCTCAATGTTAATTAAGTTTGATATATATTTGTTAATATCTCTTTTTTTATTTTTATTAAACTTATTTGACTCTTCCTTTCAAATTTCAAAATTTAGGTTCATTCCAAATAAAATTCACCCATTTTTCGTAATTCATTTTTTAAATAATTTTTATAAATTTTTCTAAAAGAATTTTGAATTATAACCTATAAAATTATTGCCATCATCATAAAGTAGATGTATTTCTAAGCATACCTGCAAAAAAAAAAAAGATTTTTTTTATTCAAAATTCCTGATATACGTGAATTTACATTTTGGCACGTTTTGAAATTTGGCATATTTGTTGAAAGCGAGTAAAATCAATGTGGTTTAGACACTTGCTAACTATTTGAAGTAGAACACACTTTTTTTCCTCATGCCAATTAAAAAGGTAAAAACGATGGTTTTGGTTATTTCCCCACTCAGCTAAGGGAAGGAAAGGAAAATTGGTTCCCATATTAAGAGTTCGCCAGTGCATATCTGGCGCAAACTGAAAAAATGTGCACAAATAATTTTGAATACCTCCGAAAGTTTGCACAAATTTTACAATTTAATATCTAGGCCTAATTGGACCGTAGAATCAAGATGAAAAAAATTGGTATGTTATTTGCAAAAAGTCCGATTTTGTGTCAAATACTATATTAGAACAATGCTATATATAATCTAATAATATCCTAAGTGTGATTCTAGACTAAGCGTGACTGCGATAATAACGAAAATTTGGTTTACACACTTTGTTAAAATTATTTGAAAGCATGAACAATAACTTTTCTTATGCTCGCAGACAATGAAAAAAAGGAGAGGAAAATAGGTTGCTATAAGAAATTCAACAAGTGAAGTATTCTTGACTCAAACTGAAAAAATGCACCAAGATAAATTTTTTAATTTCTCACCAAAAATTACAAAATTTAATATCTAGGCATAATCTGAGTCATAGAATCAAAATATGTAAAAAAATTGGTATGTTATTTCAGTAAAGTTGGATTTTGTGTCAAAATACCTATGCTAGAGCAATGCTGTATATAAACCTAATATATTTCCTAAGTCGCGCTTTAGTGACATGGAAAACGCAGTTTGAATTTTTTCAATCAGCCCAGTAGAACGAAAGATATAGAAGTGTCCCCCCTTTTTTTTGTGCAGTGTGTATGTATCGAGGGAAATTAAAACATTCTTACTGGACATTTTTACACAGATTAATGATAAAATTATCTTCACTTTTCATATTTACCAGAGAGAGGAAACTTTGTACATTCTTTTACTTGACTATTTTCATTCTGTACTGTGGAAATTTTTTGTGTCATGAATTGATCTGTAGGCCAAGTGGTAAAAATAAAGCTTTCTGTTTCAAGTTTACGTGAATATTATTTGAAAAGTGCAACTAAATAGATATAGACATGGAATACAGTTCCTGGCAAGTCAAATTTGCAGTTGTTAGCCCATGGGAAAATCAAAACTCCATAATTTTT